TAGCAATTGTTATTATTATATAATTATTTTATTCTGGAAATGATTTAAGGATAAGGAGGATAAGGACTTGTTAAAGAGTGGCCGAACCAAGCAGTCGTGTTGATTGAGTGACTAGCTAAGAGGGAAGAAAACCCGCAAGTGTACAGTGGACCGCTTGCGACAGGACCCGTGTAGGAAAGTGATAGTTAGTAGTCGATAACCTCAGTTAAACGGAAATTAAACGAACTACCTTTATTTCATAGCGCGTTTACAAAATTTACAAACTTTTATAAATTTACCCGTCCTCAATCGGGACGGGCTGTTAAATTGAAACTTCAAATACTCAATTTTCTCCTCATTCCTGTCATTAGAAAATTAGTTCCGTCCTACCCTCCAATGAACCTGATGTTCTTATATTTCACTTAGATACAATCGCACAGTAGTGAAAAATATATCACGAGCTGCGTTTTGCCTTATTTAGTGACTGCATTGTTGTCCTCATATTACGGACAACCGACAATTGCCAATGGAACACCAAAATGTGAAGATGTAACAATTTTTGAGCATAGTGGGATTGGGCTATTTTTTGTTAAATGTTGCTCAGTGTGAATTGACTTTCAAAATATATTTATCGATATAATTTCAATCTATCGATATAAACGAGACTGTCATCGATAGACCTTAACCCTAATACAGCTCTGTATTATTAAATTATTTATTTATATACAGTTCAGTAACCAGGATGAGTGTATTTCAGTGGAAGAGTGTGGAACTTTTCGGTTTAATTAATTTGCCATCAATAAAATTAAATGACATAAATGCTGAAATTACAGCGCACTGTTGCAACCGCGTTAAAGCTGTAAATGGTACCACCAACTCCACTCTAGTACTTTGTGACAATAATGGATATGTGCATGTTTTATTGGAAGATAATATAAAAGCGAAGCGGATAAGCTTTAAATGCTGCTACAACCATCCACCGATTAAATTGTGCGCTCTTACAACCAACAATTTACTTGCAGTACTAACACAAACGGATACGTTTTCTTTATGCATATCCATATATGACTTAAACTTAATCAAAAAGGAGGTACATCCATGTATCGCAACCACAATCTTTCCAGCCACAAGTGTGGCAACATTTATGCAGGCAGAGGTCATAGGACCCGATAAGTTATTTGCTTTAGGCATTGGGCTTGATAAGGGTGACCTGCTGCTACATGTTGGTAATATCAACCGGGATCTGTCTTTGAATATTCGCCGCCATGCTATTGCTTCAAGTTCAATAAATGGAATACAATTTGGAAGTTGTAATCAGCAATCAGATATAAAAATCTACGACGTGTTTGTAGTATCGCTAAATGGAGTATATTGCATTGCATTAAATGATAAAGGAGAAGTCGATGCTAAAACTGTCCTTGATAGCAATAAAAACACGCCCAACCAATGTTGTACAATATCTCAACCAATTACTTCTGATGCATTTCTTGTTGTTGGCCGATATGATGCCATCTACTGTTTTAATCGTAATTGCAGGGGTTCCTGTTATGCTATTGAAGGGCAAAAGCAATATCTTTCGTTGGTAGAGAATCATCTTATTGCCGTAGTGAAAACTCATTTTGGTTCTATGCTAATAGTTATTGATATTAATAACAAATTAATTGTATTACGCAAACAAATTTCAAGTTTGCTTTGCATTATGACTGGTAATAACTTGTACTATGTTCTAAGTAAGGACGAAAGTTCAAAAAATGAATGTACTTACAACATGGACATGTTAAAAGAGCACAATACAAATATTAAAATTAGAACCCTTATTACAAATTGTATGCATGATATCGCCCTAATGTTGTTAAAGAGAGAAGGAAGTGAATATCAGAACGCAGCATATGTTCGTTTGAAATACGGCAATAATCTATTAGTAAAAGGCAGCTTTACAAGAGCAGTCGCCGAATACGCTCAAACAATTGGCGTTGTAAAGCCCTACCACATTATTTCGAAGCTATTAAGTTCAAGGCATAACGATAATTTAATAGAATACATGAATAAATTATTAAAGAGTGAATCCGCTACAATTGAGCATCAGAAATTGCTTCAAAGTTGCTTTGATCGCCAAAAACTTCTTTATAGGATTCAACAGTTATGGATCTTTAAAAATGATACTACCCGTATATGTGACTTTAAAGAGATATCCGCTAGAAGAGTCAACATCTCAAGCTTAATTGATGCATGGAGTCATTTACAAATTGCTGATTTTTCTAAAGCCGACGAAGTTGAAGTTTTGGATTTTTTTCTGGAGTATGGACGCGAACTTCTATCGGTACATTCCACAGATTTTTTAAAAACCGTAAAATCATTGATTAGAAACCAGATAATTAAAAATATACTTCGTTTCTTAACTATTTTTTCGTATAATGCGGAATTTTGCGCAAACTTACTATCTGATTACATAGAAAATGGTTCCACCAATGATGAAAAGTTACACTATCATTTGCTCATGTTATATCTCAGTCTTTGGCGTGATAACAAAATATCATCAAAGTATATTATTGACTTTATAGAAAGAGTACCACTTAGACTTGAGAATACTTTGATATTATCAAAAGCTTATTCATTTTCTTTTGGAAACGGAAACCTGGAAAATATTGAAGAATTAAAGCTAATTGCGGACGAACAAAAACATTTTTTTGAGGACAATATTAAAAAAAATCCAAATCTTGCCTCATTGTTGACAACCGACCCGCACTCAGTGCTTATGATTTTGCAAAAAATATATAGTAGTCTAGACATACAAATGAAAGATGTAAAATCAATTTTGGCAGAAAAATTAATAAAAAATGGCATACACGCCAAATCTGAGATTCAGTCAATTGAAGATCTCAACTATGATATAGAAAGCAAAAGTTCGCTGTTATTCCATTATAAGTTACATCCAATTGAATTTCGCAACAAGTGTTGTGACATCTGCAAGCAACCGTTGAAAATGCCCTCAGTTTACTTCCTTTGCCAGCATTCATTCCACAAAGACTGCCTGCGATATAATTATCATACGAAAAAGGAGGATGACGCCGGCTGTGTGTTGTGCAACGAAAATATAAAATTCTTTGTTCCAGATTACGGAAAAAGTGAGTTAAGCTCAAAGTCTTGCGATCCAATAAAGAGAATTTCAAATGTTTTTGCTTCTGGAATGGATAAGTTAATACTGTCAGAAGAGGTTGGATGTATCCTATGAAATATCTAAACGGAATACTCTAGAACATATGAAAAGTCCGTTTGATGATAATTGTGATTTTAACTTCAACTGTTGTTAATTTACCTAATTTTAATTTGAAATATTAAAGGCTACTAAAATATGTATTTGATACATTATATTTAACGGAAATGTCTTTAATTTTCTTCTACCTGAGTCAGCTTTTTAAAATAAATTCCACTTTTGCACTATTTCTACATTTTTACAGAGGGAATTATCAAGACAATATAAATACTAAGATGACTCACACCAGTATACATATTTGAATGTCACGTAGAATTCCAAATGTGGCTTTTCAGATAAGCTTTAAGTTTTATAAATTACATGCCAGCCGAAGGCTTTCAACTCTCCAGAAGCACTAACCGTACAACAATATACTTTAAAAGGTTTGACCATTAACCGCATTGGCGAGCTTTATTAACTGCTGGATGCTGCCATAACGCAATGTTATAGCCTATCCAAGTATTTCTGCCTAGTTCTGATATGAATATTTTATATAAAAGATATATCAACTAAGATACATATGATAAATCCGAAAGGCAAATTAGAAACTAAAATAAAATACATATGACATATGTATTTGCAATTATTTACTTAATGGAATAGCACACGTAAACTGGTTTTGCTTTTATTTTTGCATGGTTTATGCTGGAGAGGAACCGTTGTCCGAGACAAGCATCATTAAACGTAAGCTTACATGTTTGAATTAGGCATGCAAAAGTACATTTAAATATGTATGTATATATATATTTTGTTATTCTTTTGCTTTCGTATTCGAAAAAAAAAGAATTTTATTAATTGACTTGCCTTGAGCACTTTTTTTTTTAATATGTTGTGTACACGGTACACAATTAATTTTAATAAGAATTTAGAAAACGTTATATCATATATAATATATCATATTAAATGCATTGCTTGCCCCAGAAAGACGGACCTACGCAACGTTTGATGATGATAACAATAAAACTGAGAGACTACTTTGAATAAAAAAAAATTGAAAATTGAAATAATCTATTATTACCAAAAAAAAAAAGACCCCTACATACATACAAAATAGCATCTATACATATTTTGTTATCCTTCTTCTTGTTAGTTAATCATTGAAATCTAAACTGTACCAAATCCATGACTTTGACTAATTCCCTCAATGGTTTCTTGCCCACTTGACAGCTTACGCTCGGTACACAATAGGGACAGAATTTTTTTAACTTTTGTCAAGCAGTGGTCTAAAGAGATTGTTGCTCCATACAAGGCAAGAATGCTTTTATATCTCTTGTCCGACCTTGCCTTCAATTTGTCTCATGTGCTAAGTCTAACGCTTCCGTCATTTTAAAGGCCGGATGGCAAGCGCCAGAATTCCTATATCCGCCGTTAACAGAAAATTACGTTTATCCGGGGTTTTGTTCCGCTAGATAAATTTAATGATGCCCTGACCTGAAATCTTGAGTTGTGAGGTTAGCTCAATCTTGGGAATGCATGGCATTGTATATCGATTTACGAAATCTGCCACTCCCATTGGATGTGGGTACAATTTCGAATACACCGGTTCTTTTCCTTTGTTGTGGGCGATTTTTGACTCTCCATGCAACAAAATATACAATAATGAAAAGTCGCTCAGAGCTTTTATTTGCGTTTTAAAACTTTCGCAAAAATCAAACAAGGGCACTAACATCATCATTATTAGGTCACATTTTATAGAATTTTGTTTCTTGTCTTGAATAGTAAATATTCCAACCCTTATTTTGTGCATTTAAATAATTTGTGCATAGGGTCTTTTATAATACATAATTTATTGGCATAGGTAATAATTTGAAATGACAAAAAAAATCCTTGGACTGTAACGTCACATGCGCAACAGAATATAGTAACCTTCTTAAGTACATATTCTTCCTTGCCTTGGCAGACACACATACCAACAACTATTTGGCGCGTCGATGCATTGATACCCTTATTAATAGAAAAAATCAAACATTTTATATAAGAAGGTAAGTGGTAGTTGATAACACCACTGATCAATAGTTAAAAGACCTTACTTTGAGAAATCTCAAGGCTGCTTGCAAGTTGAAAGCGAGTAAAGAAGAACAAGACCTGAATGTGACTGCGAATTATAGGAATTATTTTATATATTATCAGTGGTCAATAGTTTTTTGTATGTTTAAACCTTGTCACTGCTGGACCCTAAACAGGCCAGCTTAAATTTAATATAGTTTTCCTTATTAACAAATTTTAAGCATGACAAGTTCTTAATTTAATGGTACGTCATATGCAGTATATTCGTTATGTAAAGGAGTTACAGTGGATGTAGAATTCTCCAAAAAGTTACTTTTACTGGCGTTTAACATATTTATTTCTTTTTCATCGGTCTGCTGCAATGATGTAGCTTTGTTATTCTTTTTAGTTGAAGCTTGTGTTTTGATTTCCATAGCCTCATCTGAAGTATATTCACTGCTTGCAGACGATTTGCGATGCTCTTGCCAAATTGGGCTTTCTTGAAATGATTCTGAACTCTTCATTATATCAGCCTGATTATATGTTGGATTTGATTTCAAATCGTTGTTGAGCCTAGAAACGTCATGGGCCATAATGATTGGCCTAAATGTGGCAGATTGATACTTTGAACTTTCTGGGAACACTCCGGATTGCATATGCTGCTTTACAATGGTATTCTCATTGTTGTTAAGATTTAAATAATGATGATGAACATGCACATTTTGGATATTGCTATATGTTGATTCTGGAGTCGGTACAAGCTTTTGGATTGCAATTATCTTATTTATATTAGTTAGACTATGCTCAGCTGGGTTAAAACGCATCGCCGTGTTATATATTGCTGGTACACATAAACTAGGTTCTTTTAGCTGTGGATGAATGTTGGATTCAGTTTGCGTGTACGATACCGGGAAGGGCTGCCTTAATGCACCATACATCCTATTAAAGGTAACAGCATCCACCTTTTTGTCCTGCACTGCTTGGAATAAGTTACCAAGTTCCACCGGTGAACTGTTTTTCGCCGTGTTCTTCTGGTTTTGGTTGTTTACAATTCTAGGTGTTGATTGATCCTCCAAAAGCGAAAGCATTTGCAACAGCTCAGAATAATCAAAATCTTTGCGTTTTATTGCTTGGATGTTAACATTAGCAAAGCCAATCAAAAAAATAATGAATAATCTCGAAACCAACATTTTATTTATTTTTTATGAGAAAGTCTTTCAGTCAGTAATCAAACACGAATGATATGTTATATGATAATATTCGGGTGCTTACATGCTTTTATAAAAGTATGTTAATCTCTTTAATGTGCATGCACATATGTATGTATGTATGTCATATGTATGTACATACATATCTTGGATTATTTTTGAAAGCTTATGAAAGTAAAGACGGCAATAATTATCGACTACGAAATGCCCTGTTAAAAATAAAATATTATGAATGCATACAAAAATATCAAAATTTTAATATATGTAAATATGTAATAAAAAGTACACACAGCGTGTTTTGTAGCCGAGCGAAACCAGAGGCTTTTAAATTATAGTGCTTTAGTAGAGTAAAAATCTACCAGCAAATAGTGAACACAGTTACTTTTGAAGTGTCAAATTTAAAATACCCAGCAGACCAAACTGTCGCAATTGATATAGCAAACTGGACCCGACAAAACTGTCGCAATCGCAGCGGGAAACGATAGTAATATGAATCATTTCACTAACCATAGACATGTCAAACAGCAGAGTAATCGGATCACGATAAATCGCCACTCCCATTGAATCGATCATTCTAGAGTGCCCGGATAGAGTAAGACCAATCTCAGCATGGCAGCAGAACGCGGCCTCAAAAGCCGAAAGTTCAGTATGAAGCCGCATCACGCTCAGAGCAAAAAATGAGAAGAATTTGAGCTATTTTGTATTAAATAAAAAATTAATTGACATAAATGTTATATTTATATTTATTTCTTGTTAACTGGTCCACACAGTTTTTCTTAAAATAAAAGAATATTTAAGTCCTATTTCTGCAAGGATAAATCATCGTTGGCATTTCGAAAAATTCTAAACGAAGACCAATAATTGAACATTTTCAAATTTTGCGACTTGCTAATTGTGCACACGCACACTCTTTCGAAGGAGCAAACGTGTGACATTATAAAAGGCCTGTTCATGTCAAAAATTTCTATTTTGCATGCTTGTTGTTGGTAAGGGTACCTGAACGTTGGCATGTCTGCATGAAAACTGTTTGCCACACATTTTTCTATATAGATGGAAGTTTTTATGTGTGCCTGTTTTTTGCTTGCCTACCTGCGCGGATCACCTTCAACTCCGACACTCTGACATCCGCAAAATCCCTGCGCCGTGCTCTTACTTGGACCACTACCAGGCCTGCCTCGAGGACACAAGCAAGGAACTTGGAGAGCTCCCTCCATCACCTGACAACTACACCCTCTGCCCAGAAGCCAGAAGTCTCCTCCTCGAAAAAAGCGTCTGGGCCGGAACGGCGATCCTGCTACCATGGCGGAAATGGTCAGCGCGTCCAACAGGCTCCGATGACTGCTGGTTAGAACCCGAAGGGAAAAACTTGATAGCTTTCTAGAAACAGCTGACGTCAACAGAACCATCTCAGTGTGGAAACTTACCAGAAGCATTAAATGGCAACCACTTTTTACCTTCCTGATCATGGATCGTACTGACCTCTAGCTCCGACGAGGAGAAGGCCAATGCGTTAGCTAACCACCTGAAAGCGACCTTAACGCCCTTCCATTTCGCAGATGTTGCACAGCGCCGTAAACTGGCTGAATCAGATGGCTCTCTCAATAAGGAGAACATCCTCCGCGGAAATCGAATTTCAGCTGAAAGCGCTCGAGTTAAGGAAGACCTCTGGACGTGACGAAATTAACAACAGATCAGCTATGGTACTGCCACGCAAAGACATCATGGCACTCGCGTTAACTCAACTAAATGGTCAGGTTTGGTCACTTCCCGGAGCAGTAGAAATGTGCGAGTATAATTATGATCGCCCAACCCGGTAAGCCGCTAACTCAGCTTGAGCGACTCCCTTAAAGTCGACTTATGGAGCTCGACGAGGTTATGCGCTTGTTTCCGGACCATCAGTTTGGCTTTGGGAAGTCTCATGGCTGCCCCAAGGAGGACCACCGAGTAGTCAACCATGAACTGGAGGCATGCGAAAAGAAGGAATACAACATTGGAGTCTTCCTCAATGTCATATGTTTGAAAGGGTCTGGCACGACGGGCATATCTCAGCATCTTGATTTCATTTCACACCACATTCCTAGTTTCGCACGATCACTTAAAAGCCGAAACAAATGCAGTGCAGGACTGGCTGCTGCAGGTTGAAACTTGGACGGCTACCTGGAACGTCGCCATAAACCTTGTCAAGTCCGCTTGGGTCACATTTACGCTGCGCCCAGAAACGGTTCTATGAATTAACCATTGAGCACACCACTCATTTTGCAACTTGGGCTTCAACTTGGACCGAAGGCTGATAGGAAAGGAAAAATGCCTAAGAAGGCTCCACAAACTCGACTGGTTCTTGAAACCGCAAAGCATGCTCTACATTTCCACAAAGGCGTTTCTTATTAAAATGATGATAACATCCATCTGACCATTTGCTATCCAAGCGTAAACATACCAGCAGAGCCGCATAAGAGTGGTCCAAGCCAAGGCAGCACGCATGGTCGCCGGCCTGCCATGGTATGTGACAACCGAAACCATCAAGCATGATCTCCGCCAAACAAAGGTCGGAGATCAGTAAAACTTCTTCAGCAGGCGAAACGCAATGCAGAATAGAATAAAATTTGAAATACCCAGTGCTTTTGTTTTTATCCCACCGCACCCATCCTATCTGCCTCCCCTAATCTAGACCATTGCAAAGCGATCCCCCCGATCTAACACAAATTACATGTAATTTGAAATATCATATCTATATCATATATATATTTGTAAATATATATATATATATATATATATATATAGGGCAAACGGACAGAGACAAAATACTGAAGACCGCCCGACTCGACGAGCTAATTCTCCTGAAAAGCAACAGGAGCAATTGGCTGATACTTCGCGTCGATCGTGACGCAGAGAAGACCCAATCTATCGAGCAAACGAACAGAGACAAAATTCTGAAGATCCTCTCTTCCAGTTTCAAGGGCAAACGAACAGAAACGAGACAATATTCGGCGAGCTCGACATCGACAATACATATACCGATGATTTTTATAAAGAGTTAGGGTTAGGACTTAAACATCACAGGTTTGAATCTGGAATCAGGAAATCAAATGCTTTTGTCAGTTTAATTGACGAACAGTTTCCACTATGCTTAAGAAATGGCACACTTTAAAGCTTCGCATATTGGTGTTCCATCGGTTGTCGGTAACATGTGAGTGGGACCAGCTTCTTTAAATAAACAGCTGATCGAGTTGCTTTAATTTACATATGTGCCGCAAGGTTCTATTTCCACTACTCAAATAATGCGATCTTGATGGGGAATGGACTCTATACGGGATTTTACCATCTTAAAATGTTATTTTCGTTGCTGTATCAGCTGTTGATGGTAATTTTTAACAACAGCGATAGAAAACTCGATAAATCATCGCTAAAAACACAACCTGTTCGGGGTGAATTGATTGAAATTGATTTCCTTACCAATTGCGAGCAAACAACATTCTTATTCTTATATCATAAACAACACCAGCACGTTTCACGTAAACTATGAATGGAGCAAATCACATGAAAATATTATGCAAGAAAATTAGGATTTATGTAATATTATTCATCTTCCTAAATAATTGTAATTCTTCAATTACATTTTTTTTCTCTTAAGATTTAATTAGGTTGACATAAGATAATTCTGCCATTGCAGCAATAATTCTTCCATTGTGCATAAATTTTCACTCAAATGTTGGGTTCTTAGCACAATGTTTGATAAGCTTTGTCAATTTTAATTTATTATTATGTTTTAAACGTGATAAATAAATTTGATCTGATAATTTTCATTAAATATGGAAAGACGTTCTATATACTGCTTACTAACATTTTGAATGATCTTATGGAGTTTATATAAATATGCCAACATTTTAATACGACATACATAAAGGGAATACCTCTACTTAAATTGTATGATAAAAATAGTTCTGAAAATATATTCGATAGCAATATGTCGTGCAATGGTCAAGTAATCGCCGGTATAGTTTGGGCGACGTGGCTAAGTTGTTTTGCAGTGTTCTTAAAGTGTAGTTTTGAAATCTACACTTAAAATGAATCGGAACTCAAAAATATTAAATAATAAGATTGCTGGCTACAGTAGTCTTATCACATTTGTCGTCTTACTGATCGCATGGATAGCTGGATTTTCATCTCGTTTGTTTGCCGTCATACGATTCGAATCAATAATTCACGAATTTGATCCATGGTTCAATTACCGAGCAACTGCCTACATGGTGCAACATGGCTGGTATAAGTTTCTTAATTGGTTTGACGAAAGAGCCTGGTATCCACTAGGCCGCATAGTTGGTGGTACTGTGTACCCTGGATTAATGATAACTTCTGGCAGTATCCATTACATATTGCACATACTGAATATTCCAGTGCATATACGTGACATATGCGTATTTTTGGCACCGGTTTTCAGTGGCCTTACATCCATTTCGACGTATTTACTAACAAAGGAACTTTGGTCGCCTGGCGCTGGTCTCTTTGCGGCAAGTTTCATTGCTATAGTGCCCGGCTATATCAGCCGATCCGTGGCGGGCTCCTACGATAATGAAGGCATCGCCATATTTGCACTACAGTTCACTTACTTCCTATGGGTGCGATCTGTTAAAACTGGATCCGCATTCTGGGCATCTGGTGCAGCGATTTCCTACTTTTACATGGTGTCCGCTTGGGGTGGATATGTGTTTATAATCAATTTGATTCCACTGCATGTTTTTGTGTTGCTAATAATGGGGCGATACTCCCCGCGACTACTGACAAGCTACAGCACATTCTACATACTCGGACTCCTGTTCTCAATGCAAATACCGTTTGTTGGATTCCAGCCAATACGCACAAGTGAACATATGGCGGCTATGGGAGTTTTTGTACTGCTTATGGCCGTTGCTGCTCTACGTCACTTGCAATCTGTATTATCACGAAATGAGTTTAAAAAATTATTCATTGTTGGTGGATTCCTGGCGGCTGCTCTTGTTTTCGTCGCAGTCGTTGCGTTAACGTTGATGGGGGTCGTAGCCCCATGGAGTGGACGATTTTATTCTCTCTGGGATACAGGCTATGCGAAAATTCATATTCCAATTATTGCATCTGTTTCGGAGCATCAGCCAACTACTTGGTTCTCATTCTTCTTCGACTTGCATATTCTTGTGTGCGCATTTCCGGTTGGGCTTTGGTATTGCGTGAAGCAGATTAATGATGAACGCGTTTTTGTGGTACTATACGCCATAAGTGCTGTCTACTTCGCGGGTGTGATGGTCCGTTTGATGTTGACACTAACTCCAGTTGTGTGCATGCTTGCTGGCGTTGCATTTTCCGGACTATTAGATGTCTTTCTTCAAGAAGATTCATCTAAGCGAATGCCAAATACAATCAACGCTCTACAAGAAAGTGATGAACAGGACGAATCATTAGAAAGGAAAAGTTTATACGATAAGGTAAATCAGTATAAATATGATCTTGCATAAGTCCCAATTCTTAAACTTTAGCCTTGCGAGGTATATAGACCCATTTGTATTCCATAATCATTATATCGGACAATAACCAAAACTACAAATGCGTTTCCAATAGTGTAAGCAAAACAATAGAATAATCAAAACTGCAGCGTTAACAACGTATTGTGTATGTGTGTCCTATTTTGTATGGTTAAAGTTAAAAGTTACTTAGCGCTAGGATATCATAGACAGGCAGTCCGACTGGAACACTTTAACTTGCCTAAAGTAATTAAAATATCCTTTCGACAATGCAAAAATAATGACATAAGAATGATGGGTGAAAAGTGCACGGCACAATGCCAGTTGATTCCACAAAGTGTACTGCATAGTCATTATGACTACTGAGAGACTACTTCCTTTTGACAGGGACATTTATATAATATACCTTACAATATTCTTAATTAGCCAAGCTTCAAGCTTCCTCTGATCGGCTTCCAACTTATTGGACCTATACAAAGTTTTATGACGATAGCTTGGAAACTGAGAGACTACTTCGTATAGAAACCGACGGACATGGCTATATCAATTCGGTTTTAGATGCTGATCTAGAATATAATATACTTTATGGGGTTGGAGATGTTTTCTTCTATGCGGTATACATTCAATGAATAAAGTATAATACCCTCTACAAGGGTATAAAAACCACATATGTTGATTTTTTAGCGAATATATTTAAAAGAATATTAAATAAATTTCATTTCAAACAATGCTTACAGGCCGGCAAGTTAAGACATCGTACCAAACAGGATCCCACACACGACAGTGGAATAAGCTCCAACTTAAAAAGTATTGTTATATTGGCGGTTTTAATGATACTGATGATGTTTGCTGTTCATTGTACATGGGTAACAAGCAATGCGTATTCAAGCCCATCAATAGTTCTCGCTTTTCATAATAGCCAGGATGGGTAAGTTTAATATTTTTATTTAAATTCAGAATTTAAAACTAAACAAGTTTTTATATTGTTAAATACCTGGCGACTTATAACTAAAGACACACAAGTGGCGTATTAGGCAACATCGCTGTATTAGGATATCAGAGTAGTAGGGTCTGCTATCCCAAGGTCTTTACTTCGTCTATTTTTGCTTGGTCCTTCCGCTATAAGTTTATTTCCGATCCTCGATAGTTTATCCCGTTTACAAGCAATCGATATTTAAATCCTGAGCGAATGTCTTAGGTTAGAGATAAAGTCACCAAATCACAAATTCACAATTGGATTCTAGAAGAGATATAGGGGTCAAATTTATTTTATTTTATTGGTTCATTCTCCTGCAAAATAACACTACCAAGAAAATGGAACTGATGTCCCTTTCCAAATGTGGAAGAGAGCTTTTCATCAAAGTACATTGAACGTTCTTCATATTCATTCTTCGTACTGCCATTTTCCATTTACTGGGATTTCTTTCAAAACACAGCTGGCTGACCGTATATTATGTTACGAAATATTTCCGATTGTAGAGCCACGCCCTTCTTGTTACCAACATTACAAATACAGCCCGCGAAATTGTGTTATCCAAATCATTTCCCGCTATTGTCAGGCAATTTCGACTAGAATTAGATGTTGTATAAGTTTTGAAGTGCAAGAAACAAGACTAATTATTTTTTTTCAAAGAAAAATTCTTAATATCTGACGCTTGACATCGAAAATTTGCATATTTCCATTCGTAACTGCAATTTATTCCCTCTTATACCTTGAACCCATCTGTTACGAGCTCGAACCCTATCGAGGGAACTATTGTTTTTTTTTTTTTTGATGATGTGGTTGTTGAGTCGAGGCAGCAAGTAATGCGGTCTGTTGCGAGTTCAAACCCTGCCTTTTTTTTTTTTTTAGTTTATCTTTGTTACTACTTAAGCAAAACAGCGCGCAACGCGAGGTGCATTTGTTGTTAGAATAAGAGGGTTTAGGATATTCTCTCGGGAGTCGGGAGCTCCCGACTAGAATTGTAACTTATTGCAATAAGATTTTTAATTTCAATATGCTCTACACATATGTCAAAAAACGTTTTTACATCGAACTATTTGTTTTTGTTTTTTATTTTTACTATCCTCAATACATGTCTTCAAAACCATTGTTGTTTTACAAGGGTATTTATATCATAGCTCTTTATCTTTATCTTTGTTCCTTTTTTAATATATGTATATTTATTTATATTAATATATTTTATTGTAGATCGCGAAATATATTGGATGATTTTAGAGAAGCGTATTATTGGCTATCTCAAAACACTGCAGATGACGCTCGCATAATGTCGTGGTGGGATTATGGTTACCAAATTGCCGGGATGGCCAACAGAACAACGCTAGTTGACAATAATACTTGGAATAATAGCCATATAGCTTTAGTCGGGAAAGCGATGTCATCGACTGAGGAGAAGTCTTATGAAATAATGACATCTCTAGATGTGGACTTTGTTCTCGTAATATTTGGAGGTGTGATTGGCTATTCTGGTGATGATATAAATAAGTTCCTCTGGATGGTTCGAATTGCGGAAGGAGAACATCCAAAAGATATTAAGGAAAGCGATTTTTTTACCGATCGTGGTGAATTTAGAGTGGACGCAGAGGGTGCGCCTGCCTTGCTAAACTGTCTGATGTACAAATTGAGCTACTACCGCTTTGGGGAATTAAAATTGGATTACAGGTAAAAATATTTGTTTTTTAATTCTGTTTCAAACATATTTAATTCTCATAGTTTTAATTATATGAAATGCTTAAAATATTGTGCTGATGTATAACGTTGGATTATTATATTACGCTCTGTTTGCAAAGTGAATAGACTATATGAATTTTGTGATTCAATAACTTATGAGCAAAATAAGATCATGTTGTGAAAAAACAAAGGATGGAAATAGAGGTATATAAAAAGAGAAATAGTCCAGATATTCCATATTAAGCATACAGACTATAATTTGGTTTCTCTAACTTTTATATGCTTTGAGATATAGGCAACAACAGGATGGCGATTCTTATAGATTTGATTAAAAATAAATTCTATCTGCGCGCGAAGAACATTTACAATATCAAGTCATTGTCTTTTATCGGCATATACACTCGTTAAGGGGTCGGATAAGCTTTCTTATGCCTGTTTCATATATTTGCGCAAACATTATGCCCTTATTAACCATTGCACATTCATTCCACTTTTAGATGTTCTAGCTATTATGCTGTAAAAAAATATATATTTTTTTACCCAAAAACAGATAACTCTGAAGATATTTAGTGCGGCAATATTGCAAACGTAGATATTTAATATAAGCGCTTTATCTTTAAATTGCTTTGGTTGGGTTATTATTTTTGGCTGGAAGTATATATATGTTACCACTTCTGTCCGATTATCTTCTTCGAGGTATCAGTTCTTTTGTCGGTCTGCTTTTTTTGAGACTTTTCGTCTCCACCTTTTATTTTAACCGCAAATTACGTTACAAGGCTTGAGGCAATAATAAATGGCAAGCAACATGCAGAGCCATCTCGTAATTATATTTCGCTCCATCTTGTGCTATTCTTTTCTATTTCGTTTGACATATTGGTACTTAATTTAGTTATGCTTGCTTCCAGAGTACACATTCAACAACTGAATTTATGTTAGCAGTATTAAGCTGCTGAATTGTAGTAGTTGGCAATGGCAAGTCAAAAGCAGTTTTGCGCCATGAAGTCTCATTGCGCTTACGATATAGAGCTGAGTGCTAAGAGCTGACTGTTAACGCAACTAAACATACCAAAAGAACTTTTACACTAGATTTGATATCCGTATAAATGCGTCGGTTTAAGTTTACGAAAAGAGAAAGCTATAAGTTTTTGACACTTCCACCGTTTCCAGTTAAAATTGTTAAATACGGATCGCTCAAACAAAATGCCGTTCGCTTTGCAACGACACTCTCACATACATCTTTTTATATCTTTGTGTAATATATGTAAATACTCACGTGTGCATATGCATGTTAATTTATTTAAATTATTTTAGAGGTGCACACAGTATGTCTGCTATTCATGAACTGTCACCAATAATATTTATACTAACTATGTTTTAAATACAATAACCAATGTTTGTTTTTAGGGGGCCTTCTGGATATGATCGCACCCGTAATGCTGTAATAGGCAATAAAGATTTCGATTTGACATATTTGGAAGAGGCATATACAACAGAACACTGGTTGGTTCGAATCTACAGAGTGAAGAAGCCATTCGAGTTTAATAGACCATCCTTAAAGGCTAAAGATAGGCTTATTCCTCCAACAAACTTCATATCTAGAAAGGTATTTTGTGCTATATTAAAAGAAATCATATTTTATAATGAACTTATATTTCAGAATCAAAAAAAACGCAAAGGATTAATTCGAAATCGACCAATTGTAGTAAAAGGAAAGAGAACGTTAAAATAAGTTACATTTATTCGAATTAGACTGCAATAAAAACGATAAATAAATCAGTTATTAATTATTTAAACCTATTAAAGGACAGGCTTATCGATATGGAATACAGAGCACGTCTGCTGGCAAAACTGGGAGCTAGTGATCTGCCATCTGCAATACTACTTTTTGACGAGGAGTTCTTGGTAGTTTTTGGCGACTTCAATCTTTCGGATATTGCTTGGTTATCGCCAATAGATTTTATCTTTCTGTAACCCTCTATGTCACAAGACTTTATTGATGGTATACATAAGATGTCCTCATTGCAGGAGTATCGGGTGCTTAACACAGAAGACAGATATCGTGATTTGATCATTCTGTTGGATACATTCGACAGTGTTGAGCACATAATTGACCCGCTTTCACGTCCTCTCCCTATTCATCCTACTTTGGAATTGGTCATTGATCTACGAGCGGGGCCGTTCAAGGAATCGAAATTAGCGAATCGTCTCCGTTGTTTTCATAAGGCGGATTTTTGCAAGGTGTATGATCTTACTCTGCAAGTGGACTACAAGCTATTTGTATTATCCATAAACACAAAATCTTTTCCGACCATTTAATATGAATCGTTAATGATAATTCTACATAAGAAAGATGGTAGATCTATTAGCCGAAAACTTTCCAAATTCTCTGCTATACCCAAAGCATTTAAGAGAATCGTAACATGTCAACTGCAACATCTATGCATCTCAATTATTTCACATGACAGATCACAGCCACTAACCTTCTTGAGCTTACTCCCCTAACAATTTATCGCAGGAAAAAGCTAAATCTGTATGCCGGTTCAATGAGGAAACTAATTTTGTCATCGGATTAATATATCTCACTTAAAGTGAAATTGAATTCGACACATGTTGAATGCTTTTATAATTGGAAGTTCGTAGACATTTTGAAGGAGATGAAATTGTAAAGAGGTGTAACCAAGAATTTTGACGACTTGAACTAAGTTGGTAACTAATCGATTTAAAACACCAATCAATGCGGGACGTGTTAGGTCTCACTTACCTTGTTGTCGGTTTATTATCTCTTGAAATTGCAAGATTTGCTGCAATAACTAGAGCACCTCCATCTAATAGCTGTGTTCTGCGACACTGGCAAATCGACTGACTGGGTACCCATAATTAACATAGTTGTAACTAGCATACGTGACACCAACAACGCAGGCCTGCTCGCAACACCAAAATACGAAATACGAATGTAGCATTCTAAACATTATACTCCGTCGAAGATACTCTTCAATGAACGCAAACTGCAGTATCTGTTGCAGCGTGGTATGCGCGCGAGTTCCCATCTCAGTCCATCATGAGATGGCAACCCCCCCAAGTTTAGAAACTTGACAAAAAGTACCCACACGCAACATCAGCAAGAGAGATGATGTTGATGTTGCCAGTATGGAAATGGGACACCGTTGACGACATCAGTTTGGCAGCTAAGTAGTAGATATAAAGTCTTATACTTCTGAGAATGAGGATTTCTTAGTTTGGATTTTTATATTGAATCATTACCTGATGGATTCCAACGCCACCATATATAATTACAAATCACAAGAAAGACATCTTGAACACCGGTATCAGGATTCCCTTCGGTAACTAGCGCAATGGGACTGTATTATTATCTTATAAGGCAGATTAACCGAGACAAAGGAATCTGAACCATTATTGAACAGAACCAAAACAATTTATTTGCACACATACATATGTCTGATTTCGTTCCTATCAGGAATTAGGGACTCATTGGGAGCCACCGTTAGGTCAGTGTAGCCGACTAACCTTCGGGAGGCATTAGAATGGGCGTTAAAAGAAAGGAAATTCTATATTTCCCAGTATAATAGGAAAACCCGACAACCAAAATAATCTGTCAGAAAAGCCGGAAAACACTAAAAACAGGCGAATAAAAATTATATTAAAATGTTATACAAATTTAATATTTTTGATTACATACAAGCAAGTCGAGGCTGAATAATGTCATATATATGCATATATATATATATATATATATAAACATAAATATCTAATTGCAACTCCGGAACCAGGTTCGAAAAATTAACAAAAAGTGACGCTGCTAACTTGACGCACATGTTTTAATGATTATTTCAGTCTAACTTGTTCAATCAAATTCGATACAACTCTGAGAATGGACAAGAGTAAAGAAATAATTGAAGCTAATTTAAAAAACCGCAGAAAAACTGAAATAAAGCACAAGTTGATTAAAGTCGACTCTCCCATAGCAAAATATCCTTTTTCAAATCATATTTATTTATTACATTATTGTACATGTATGGCGGTATGTGTATATTTGCACACATGCCCAAATTCAAATATGTACATATGTTTATACACAAGCGTATTTGTATCACTTAAAATTTTTGATTGGTTTTCTTAATATTTAATATACATATGATTCTTCAGGTAATTTGTCATGCATATTATGCAGGATCCCCATTAAGGCAAATGTATGGAAGGTACATTTGACCTCACGCCAACACAAGCGAAATTTGGAACTCGCTAAACAACAGCATATTAATACTTGCAATAGTTTTGAAAAGATAACCCCAACAAACAAAGAGCAAACACCACAAAAAGCGGAATGCATCTCACGCAATGAGGTTCAGTTGCAACCTAGCAAATCTGAAAAAACTCCGCAAGCTCAAATTGACACGGTTCAGGTATTACCCGAGAAGTTCTTTGACCATGAAAAGTCTCTAAACTTTCTTGGAAGCGATCGTGATCCAGAAGCGGAATGGATTAAATTTCAACGTGAAATAAGAGAAGCGGACACAATATCGAATAATATAGTATCTGAGGAGCAGGAAAGTTTGAATATCAAGCGTCATCTAAAAGAAATAGACGAACAAATTGAAAACTGGAAGAGGTTTATAACAATAAATGATAAAAAAAACAACATTTTAAAAAGTCAACGTAATACAAAAACATTAAAGATCAAAGAAGAATCTAGCTCTAGTGAAGAAGACAGTGTAGACACACTATTAGATTGGAGAATAAAAAGTGTTCACAAATAATATAATTAAAAAATTTTAAGTTTACTTCGAATAAGTTGTGTACTAAATACAGCTAGCTGTTTTAATGATATCGTTAGTTTTTTACGGAACGTTATCAGAAACTAAGACAGGCTGTTATACGAATAGCAGATCAAAAAATATAAAAGATAGGTAGTGTATATGGAATGTACAGATACAAAATATTTAAAATTTTCCAAATTTTCATTCTCAAAATATCAACTTCATTAAAATAGTTAAGAAACTAAAGTTAAGTATAAAGATAGAGATTGGAACTTGGGATACACCCTGGCCGCGTCAGGACATCTTAAATTTATATGCCTACGCACCCTGGGTTCATAGCAGTTATGGAAAATGTTAACACGAGTCGAAAGAATACTGGAAATATATATTCGATGCCTTTATATTGGAGGTAATGTAAAAAAAATACTTTAATATATAATTAGCTTACATGTTATTGATTTGTATTCAACAAGATAGAATGCTGAAATAATGCCGAGTTTGGTGAAAATATCCGTTCGTCCGATTCTTCCAATAGAGGTGTTGAATTTCGCAGAGCGATCTTATTAAGATTTAGCCTATATAAGCAGCATATTGATAATAAAAAAATACCGAATATATTCGAGATATCTTAAAAAAACAAAAAAGGTTTCGAAACCGGAATTAACGGTTTTTATGGCAGCTATATGAAGTTGTGGTCCGTTATTGATAACCTTTTGTCATATTAAATGACCGATGACCATTCGACCGATGTAGTGCTCCGATGTTGATCGAATTTTGGGTTAATGTAGGCAGCAAAGGGTAACTTATAAATGCCAAGCTTGTAAGGATATCATGAAAACACAAAAATTTGATCGTTCCTATAGCAGTTATATAGTGGGACGATGCTGGTAAGGTTTTGCATATTCATATGTATAATGAAACTTTTAAATTCTGAATTCGGGTAGATATCTTAATAAACAAATACGTTTTTAATACAAGCACCTGCTTTTAGACTGATCGTTTCAATGGCAGCTATATGATAAATTAGTCTGATCCGGCCGGTTCCGATATTAGTATAGCCTGCAACATAAAGTTTGACACTTGCAATGTTTCAGACGATCGCTTTACAATTGAAAAAATTGAGAATATATAAATTAAGCGGTTCCTGAATGGATAGATATTTGTGTAGTGCGATATGATGGATGTATACTCTAGCTATAAGTGTCCGCATGTGTCGCACGCCTGAGTTCAGTATCTGCTTCATGTGTGACTGCGAAAAACATTCTCCCTAACTATTGTTGAGTACATAGTAATGTTGAGTATATTAAGTACTGAAATACTTATGTCTTATTCTATGATTGGTGTATCGTCTGCATTGGCGTAGTCGTTGAGTTTGGCTGTCGTCATTGTAACAAACAGTAGCGTAATCCACATTCTAAGGTATACGTGGAAATATAGAGAAAAAGTATGACTCTCTTAAATTATCCTTGTGGACCACTCATCAAAACTGTTGCCATCAAGTCAACAAAGGTATGTTTTCTAGTCGCTTATTTGCTTTTACAAGGACTTTGACTCCTATTTGGAAATTTTTATTTTGTCTTACTTTGATTAATCTTTGCATTCGCATATTCTGTGCTTTAAGGGCTTTACCTCTCAAGTCTTTTTATCTGTAGGGCCTTACTAGACTCAGGCTCGCAGTTGCACGTGGTCATATCCTGTTTCAGAGACTGTAGTTAACAAAAACCAATTCGTCGACAGTTGTCATGGGTGTCGGAAACACAATCTTTCCTACTAAAGAAGCAGCTGTTAGGATTAACATGACGTCACAAGACTCAGATGATTCAACCACCTTAAATGATCTTGTGACTCCAACAATTACCGATAGTCAGCCTAGCTTTATCATCAATACATCAGACTGGAAAATTCCAGCGATGCTGGTCAATTGGACGTTCGCCTGGATTCGGCGTTTTAGGAAAGTTGAGAGCTTCGAAGCGCCTGTGGTAAAGGCCAGCAAGGAAGAGTTAGAATGTGAACAGCACTTTGCCAATAACTTCTCCCGAGTACCATTCGCCAAGTATTCAGTGCGATTGCCTTTGAAGTGGAGTGCTGAGCTGCTTGGAGAGTCTTGCGGCCAGGCTTACCGTTGATTTCTAAGTCTTGAGTGAAAATTCCTGTGCATTTGAATCTACCTCACTACCTCATGAGTTAACCGCAAGTGTATCGATCGCGGGAGGCCCTCAAATTCGGTTCACAACAACGCCTAAGGTGCTCTTGAATTTTTGAAGAAACAAAGCATTCCCCTCGGGTAATTTAGTCTAGCTCACCCCCTGAGGTCTGCCAGAGGAAGCATCGTAAAAAATTGCTACAGTCTTGTCTGTTAAGTTGTCTGTTCTTCTCGCATGTAGAAGCTAGCTCTTGATTGAGTTCAGCCAGGTAATCCAGGAGAACGTCTAAGCGATAACCCTCGCTGTAACATAGCAGTATACGGGTAAGACTCTCAAAAAGTGGCAGTTCTGATATCTGGAACTTCTTCAATTTCTGTTACAAATCCGCTATATGTAATTCGCGTTGACCCAAATCGACTTTAGAAATAGCCATTGGATCATGAGAGTGTTTATGACCCCTCCACCCCCTACCACTCGTCTTCTAATTAGAACTTAGTACCCTAGGCCTGCGACCGGGACCGCGACTGTTTGCAGTACCAACTCAGCATTCCCGCATTGTATCGTCGTGCCCGTTCTGTACTCAGAATGAAAGGGTGCCCCATAAAAGACACATTGAGCATCGGCATGCGATAACCCCTTCTGCCAAAACGATTGCACATCTTGTGCACACAGTCCGCGCTCATGATGATGCGTGTTGCTTCAGTGTCTACTGTATAGAGCATTGTCTGTCCGCTAATCTTTACAACCTGCTCTGTAAGCATACTTTTGTTAATCAAGCTGCATGTGCTTGATGCGTACTACCATCAGCAAAAAAATGTATGCTCATACGGACAGAGGAACAGTCATTAGCCAAAATTAATATATTCTGCTTCACTCTTAATGAATTGTATGAATTTTATTATTAAAAAGTTAATCTGTACATTTCTATGTTTAGTTTAAGAACATTTTTACTTGGCTGTCTCCAGTTTTAGATCTATCACATAAACTAAGTATATGCATAAATATTTACACAAATTATTTTAACTTAATAGACATATATAGATTTTAGTTGCGGTTTTAGTTCTGGAGGTATCACTGGTGCAGGTTCCAGTTTTCGAGCAACTAAACGCTTAAACCGGCCACTGAATTGTTTGCGAAATCCTCTGAATCCTAATTTTTCGTTAGCTATCAAAATCTCCTGAAATGAGAAAAAAAATAATTTTGTTATTTATTTTAAAATATACTTTTTTAATAAATATATAAAAGTTGTGTATAAAAAAAAAATTGTGCCCGACTAGAAGATAACCTTAACCCAGCGCCGTTCTACCCAATTAAATTTTCAAGCTTCCTTTAATGTAACACGAACACATGCACGGACGACGCTTGCTGCGGCTGCGTAAATTATCAGCATCAGAAGCCGAGGTGATCTAGGCATGTCCGTCTGACCGTACGTCCGTCCGTCCGTATGTACGAACTCAACAATTTTAGAACCTATAAGATCAGAGTCTTGAAATTTGAAACATAGCGCTTTCTAGGGCCTGCGCAGTACGAATTTATTTCCAATAATCGATAACTAAATGATCAAAGTCGAAATCCTGTTTTTTTTTAGCAAATCGCCTAAGTTTTTAAAGGTATGGTCACCAAACTTGATATGAAGCTAAAGATATGATATGAAGATCTAAAGCCAGCTTTTCCTATGACCAAAATTTTGGCAAATTTTTGTCAATCGAGGTTTAAGACTCTTCTTGACAACTTAAATTGACAGCATGTATCTTCTCACGACGGCCTGAGAGAAAAGTGATAGTTCCATAACATTCTCATACATTAGCCCACGTATATTAGCTTTACTTTTAGTTTTGCACAGTGTATGCTGGCAATAAATTCTTGTCTCAGTCAATAGCGTGCAAGATCCTATGTTTGCATGTGTGAATTATGCATGCAGCAGTACGTCCATATATGTACCATGTGCTTTTATTCACTGATGGGTTAAACAGAATGATTAAAGTTTTTTACATGTAACAATTTTTCCGTGTATATTCATATGATTATATAATATGTTGGTACTTATATACATCTGTTAATATAACTACACATATTACAGGTATGTACTACGTATATACAAATATATGTTAAACGTACCTGGTTTATATGATAGATATGCGGAGTTGGCGCTTTCGGAGGAAACGTCCAATCCGGAATATCGGCCACATCTGCATGTCCAACAGCTTCTGCAGTGACACCGCTAGTTCGCAAGAACGTTACATGCTGGTGGCCGTCTTTAATCAAAGTGTTCGCGTTCTTTGCCTCAGAGACTTCCAAATTGTTTGAAGACTGATGATGGTCTTCATTGTCGTGTTGCTCGTTGCTTTCAATAATATTCGATTCAATATGGGGCTCATCGCGTTTGCGAAATTTACTTCGAACGAGACGCATTGTAAGTGTCCCAGAGTTACCTTTTACCATTGCAGAATCAAATGTCTTAAGATTTATAGAATCTCTGCAACAGCAGCACTACTAAAGATGATTATGTAATTTTTATGTTAAAATTCGTTTGCATTTCGAATTTTATTCCAGACTTAAATTCACAGACTGAGTGGTGGTCACAAGTGTACTGATAGCTAAAAAATGCCACTATTTAAAAGTTCGGCTTGACTAGAATTTATATCGGTTATCTAAACATGGGCTGTACTTTTTGAGTGGTCCCAATGTTGGTTATTCAGCTAGCTTTGCTGCTTTGATTAATATTTATTTATAGTATGATCTTAAAATTTGTTGTGTTGCAGCCTTTCGGCTGCTATAATTGCTAACTGTACGCCACAAGATAGTACATTTGGCTTAACAGTTTTGTTCTGCCTATTTTATATGTATATGTGTTTCAGTTCACTATAAAATCTGTTTAACAGTACTTTCACAATCTTGGTCAAAATATTTTGCTGGTATGTATGTTTCTTTTTTACAGAACGTTCACAATCTTTAGTCAAAAAAGTTTGCTAGCATATACATATGCCAAGCATTTCCTGTACCGATTCTTATATGTACATATATATGTATATGCTTTATTGAGGTGCATAAACTCTTAATTAATTGAAAGTTATTTGACGTCACTTTGGTTTACACAGAGCGCATGTGAACAAAAGCAAAATAATCGCCTTGTGTTTTATTTGCCTGTCGACTCACTAATACGAGTAGGAATCTCTTAGTTTCTCTGTTGTTCGCTCTTATTCTTTGGCATCCAAGAAAAACACATATAACGTAAATTTATGTACATTTTCTGTCCAGATACTCAGTTATTGGCAACATTGGCATTGTCGCACGAATGTACAATTTAACATACATAAGGCGTAAGCCAGCACCCGAACTCCCAATAAATCTTACACTGACAATGAGTCACTGCGATTACTATACATACATATGTATGTACATAAAAAATTTCTGCTGCTCTACTGAATCTACGTGCTGACGTCAAGTTTGTATCGCAAAAATTCTTGTGTTTATAGGGTTACAACAATATCGAACACATCCTATATGAAATGTACGTTTCTATTGACACTGCGTTTACATCCACATCCAAAAAGCAGTGGATGTGGATTAAAATCTATACAAAATATACGCTTTTAAGCAGTTTCGTGAAATTTATGTAATACATTTTAGATATTCAGTTTTTGTAATAAACTTAATAAATTTCACTGTCCCGCTGTTAAATAAGTTTTTTGATCTGTGTTAAAATAAATTGAAAAACTAATTGTAACAGTTTAAGCTCATGCAGTGAAAAAGTTTTTTGGTCAGGGAAACTAGAAATGTATCGATAATTTTTCGAGTCTTTTAAAGCCACCAATTTTGACTTTTAATTATAAACAGTCATTTAAATTTTCAATGCGCTCTCGGGTGGATAGTTTTAAAAGACAATTTTACGAATAATATTAACTCCAGTGGTTCAAGTGCAACTAAATTGAAAAGTCAAATAAACTCGCTTCTTCCGGAAATAATTCACAATTGATACAACATTGAATTATTTGTGCGATTTTTAATGTTTTTGAGCGAAAGTATTTTGTTTTCATACCATATTATATTCTTCTTATTCGAATATCTTTATAACCGCGAAAAGCACCGCGAATGTCCCATAGCGTGATTAATTCTAACTGCCCGTTTGTACGCCCGCTACCTATGATTGCTGTCTCTCTCGCTCTTTGTGGTGCGGCGAAAATTCGTTTCTCAAGCCTACTTGCTCGTCGCGCTCTTCCATTTGGCCGGTCATTCATCAGCTCAGCTTTTATACATTCGCCAAGCCAAACCGTGATCTTGGCCAACAGAACTCGCTTGCCCTTGTTCAAATTACCCACATTTTCCGGTGGCTTTACCGAATATTCGGATTTCATCGCGATGCTCGAGTCAAGGATACCAAGCTGTCAAATATTGAAAAGTTGCAACATCTCCGCTCATGTTTGTCCAGCCCTGGATGGATTCGGTTCGATCGTTGGAGTTCTCCGGTGCCAGTTATCGTGTGGCTCTGCTCAAGCCGGCGTGCGTTGCAGACTTTCTGCAGTTTGTAGCAAATCTTAGGATACGTAATAGTACAGACGCTGCTTCATAAATCGGACATCAAGAGGGAGGAGGTCACAGGAATCCACAATGTTCCGAAGGCCGATGAGCTATTCCTATTTCGGGAAACGCGTTGTCAAATGCTTGAGAGCGGGCAACATGCCATGTCAACCCATATAACCAACACTCAGGTAGCACATTCAACCATAATACTAGCCCCAGCAGGTGCATATTTTTGTGATGCATCTGGCCACGGGATCTACAACAACACGACACAATCACATACATTGTCTGATTTGAGCGCCGCCACTTCGACACACTCTCACTCCACAACCTCTCCTGCTGTCCAAGGTCTTCAGTCTGGTGTTATGCTCTTGGCCACTACAGTGATAAAAAAGAGATTTGGTTCCTTGGTTCCTTGTAGGGTGTTACTAGTTTCAGGATCGCAGTTGCATATTCACATCCCGTTTAACGCAGAGACTTCTGTTAAGGAAAACCAGATCGTCGACTGTTGACATAGGTCTCGCAGGCACAAGCGTCTCTTCTGATGAGTCAGCTGTTGGGATTAATATGAAGCCACAAGACTCAGATTATTCAGCCACCATTGATGCTCTTGTGGGTCCAACAATTACCGACAATCAGCCTCCCTACGACATCGATGCTTCGAATTGGAAAATTCCCTCAAACATAAGGTTGGCTGATCCTGCGTTCAACAAGCCATAGCGGGTCGATCTTTTGATTGGACCAAGCCTCTTCTACGAGCTTTTGTCTGTTAGGCAAATTGTGCTTTTGCTAGGATAACCTCCTCTGCAGAAAACTCTTCTTAGCTGGGATGTGACCGGTGGGTTTAAGAGACTGCGCAGTACCTCACTGTTGGCTGCTGCCCCCACTCCTGACAGGGATGCAGGTCAATTCAACTGTGGTAAAGGCCAGCAAGGAACAATCAAAATGTGAAAAGCACTTTGCCAATAACTTCTCCCGATTACCATTAAGCGAGTATTCAGTGCGATTGCCTTTGAAGTGGAGTGCTGAGCTGCTAGCAGAATCTTACGGCCAGGCTTATCGTTGTTTTCTAAGTCTTGTGTGAAAATTGGGTCGGCATTCGCATCTGTAGAAGCAGTACTCGGCATTCATCAAATTTCTGGATCCGAATCACATGTCGCGAATTAGTCCAGAGTTGAGTGGATGTTGTAAATTCTTTCTCCCACATCATTGTGACTTAAAGGAAGACAGTACCACAGCCAGGTTGCGTGTTGTGTTTGATGGCTCAGCGATAATATCTTATGGAGGGACTCGCCTCAAATCTTTATCAGCATTATATCATAATCAATCAGTTGGCCATTGATGAGCGTCGTGTATTTTCTATTTGATCGGATGCCATCAAGCAGGAGCTTTACATTGACGATGTCATATCCGAAGCCAACTTAGTTGCTGAAGCCAGCGAGAAAATTCGTGAGACGGCCGAGACATTGTCCTGTGGAAACTGTAAGCTTGGAAAATGGTGTTCCAGTCACCAGAAGGTCCTCGATGAAGTAGGTAGGGAAGAAGGAGAAGGTAGGGAACAGTACTTGAAGTTTAATGATGGAAGCGATTTCAACAAGGTGCTTGGTTTTGTATGGGATCCAGCTGTCGATCATTGTTAAACTTTGTAGGCGCTCCGTTCTGTCTATTGTCGCCCGGTTTTATGATACGGTTGGACTAAACAGCTTTGTAAGGACCAACTGACTTGGGATGAAAGCTTGCCGATTGCACGTGATACGACCTGGAGAGAGCTATGCTCCGTTTTCGCAACATTCGCGATGTATCGTTTCCCAGAGTGGTACTTTTCGAAGAAGTTGATGTTGAAGTACATGGATTTGCGATGCTAGTGTGGAGGCCTATGGAGCCTGCATCTACGTGCTGGCCAGAAGTTCTCTAGCCATAAGTTGTATCCTTTGCTCCAAGTTACGAGTTGCGCCGTAAAAAACATTGACTGTCCCACAACTGGAATTATTTATTTTTTATTTATTTATTATTTATTAATGGTCGACAAAACGAGTGTCTTCCTCATTATTCAAAAGGTTGTACAATATAAGTATATTCTAAAAGCCTAGTTAAAGGATACAATTTTCTAAATAGCATCACCGACCGATGGAGGTGTTTTATTTGCCAGTCCGGCCAGCTGTGCCCCTTTTCACAGCTAATTTTGTCAGTGACGCTATTAGAGCCTACATCTAAGCAGAAGGTTGTAAGTAGGAAAAAAGTGATCTCAAGTGAAATTAAAAATAATCTTAATTTGCTAAATTAATAAAGAAAATACAATAAATAGGAAAAAAGAAAGTAAGAAAATTGTTAATAAAGTAAAGCAATGTAAGTTAGATAAAGAGTGTTAAGTGGATAGGACAAAGAGAAAAGTATTGGGAAATCACCGACACGGTGGGGGAAAATTTTTCAGCCTGTCCGGCTAGCTATGCCCCTGCTCATAGCTGGGAATGGTCAGCGACTTCCCGAAGGTATCCTGAAAGCAACGATTTTATTAGGGGTAGAGACAGTTCGGTAGAGAAAACGTGATGCAAACTATTATAATTTTTACATAGCACGCGAAAAGAATTGTGCATAGCGTAATCAGTTGTGCACGTAGATAGTAATAAGGGGCGATAATTTCTGGTTGGTCTAGCCGGAACAGAGAATTGAAGACGCCCTAGCAGAAAAGGAGAATCAATGTCGCCAATAATCAACTTATGTAGAAGGACAACACCGAGAATTGTCCTACGGTTGATTAACGACGGAAGGTTGAGAAGAAGCAGTCTGCTGGAGTAGGACGGCAACCGAAGATTAGGGTCCCAATTTAAACCTCGTAAGGCAAAAAGCAGAAATTGCTTCTGAACAGATTCAATACGATCCTGGCTGTTGATATACTGTGGAGACCAGATGCAAGAGCAGTATTCAAGGATAGGGCGAACAAGAGAGATGTACAGAAGTTTTGTTATAAAAGGATCGTTAAACTCTTTAGACCATCGTTTAATGAATCCAAGTACACCTTTTGCCTCATTAACAATGGTATCTATATGAAGATTGAAACAGAGTTTAGAATCAAAAATAACGCCAAGATCCTTAACTGTTAGTATACGTTGCAAAGGGATATTGTCGATTGTATAACTAACAAGATAAGGTGTAGTACGATTAAAAGTCATAAACATACACTTTGAACAATTTAGATGCAATTGATTGGCCGAACACCAAAGTTGCATAGCGTTCAAATCGTCTTGTAGACGAGAATGATGTAGGGGGTTAGTGTATGATAGAAAAAGTTTGACATCGTCCGCATACATGAGTACACGGGCATGTGATATAACAGAAGGAAGATCATTTATAAAAAGTGTAAAGAGTAAAGGTCCAAGATGACTACCTTGAGGAACACCAGAAGTAACGTGAACCCTTTTAGAGGTAGTCAACCTCAGTATTACTCTTTGGGTCCTACCTTTTAAATAAGAATTAATCCAAAGTAAAAGGGACAGAGGGAAACCTATTCGGTCAAGTTTAAAAAGTAAGATGTCATGGTGCACAGAGTCAAACGCCTTACTGAAGTCAGTGTAAATGACATCAGTTTGCATTTTCGAAAGGAAAGCATCATTTACCAAGGAAGTAAACTCAAGCAGATTGGTCGTAGTTGACCGATTCTTTACGAATCCATGTTGAACAGGGGAAACAACTGATTTGCAGAAATGCTGCAAATTCGAAGTGATTATTTTTTCAAATAATTTAGGAATAGCAGACAGTTTTGCAATGCCCCTGTAATTTTGTATATCAGACTTCCCACCTTTCTTGTGAAGAGGAATGATATAAGATTCTTTCCAAAGAGATGGAAAGACAGAAGTTTCAAGGGATAGATTAAAAAGCTTTAGCAATGGAT